TCACTCAGGAGTAGGACCAAGCAGAAGGAAGAAACAGATCTACTGAGCACCCAACTCTTACTAAGCCACGGCCTCCATTGCAGCACTACCAGAGCTAGAATTCCGGAGCTCAAGAGGCCCAAGTGCTGCTTTTAACAGCGCAAGGCTGGCAACACCTAAGATGTCCACCAACAGGGAGCCGGCTAAATGGATCCTAGGACAGCCATACAATGAAGCGTCTAAGGCTTTTCTTTCTTATTTCTTGAGACGGAGTCTAGCTCTGTCACCAGGCTGGAGTGCAGTGGCGAGATCTCGGCTCACTGCAACCTCCACCTCCTGCCTCAGCCTCTTGAGTAGCTGGGACTACCGGCACGCACCACCAAGCCCAGCTAATTTTTGTATTTTCGGTAGAGATAGGATTTCACCATGTTGGCCAGGATGGTCTCGATCTCTTGACCTCGTGATCCGCCTGCCTTGGCCTCCCAAAGTGCTGGGATTACAGGCGTGAGTCACCATGCCTGGTCAAGGCTTTTCATTCCTGCAGTCAAGTGGAATAATGACCAAAATACATAAAGTTAAAAAAAAAAAAAAAACTCACAGAACTGACTGACAGACTGCACAGGCGCTGCCATTTGTATTTTTAAGGCATGAGATTCTGGTAACAGCTTCCAATATTCCTGAGAATAACCTCTCTCCTCAATTCTAGGTCCCCCATTCACCCTCCCCACCCTACCCCAGGTCTGCCCATCTTCAGATTTCATGCCCCCGGGTCATGCTGACGCCAAGGTGGACACAAAGCCCAAGCCAACAGGCAGAAGAAACAGTAACTCTTGCAAATCAATGGGGAAATGAAATTAATTCTGCTGTGACTGCAGCAGGGAGGAGAGCAAAGCAGAGAAAATTCAATCAAAGAAGTGAACCACGGAGCTCCTGGACTGGGCCTACGCCTACTCTGGGACTTTCTTTCCTTTTCTTTTTTTGGTTAGCAGGTATGGGTATGAGTTAGTTTCCATTACTTGCAGCTATAAAAGCCTAATGATAATAGCTAGTGCTTCTTAGACACTTACTACCAAGCATAGTAAGGCACTATTTTAAGTGTTTTCTGTATATTAAAGCCTTTGATCCTCTCAACAACACTAAGGGGAGATTTTATTACCCTCTTTCCATCTTAAAGATGCAGCTGCCTTGTTTGCAGACCTGAGCTTGGCCAGTGACCTGAGCTTGGCCAGTCCTCAGACTCCACTTCCTGGTGGCTGCGTCCAGCTCAGACCCATGCGCGTTTGCCTTCAACTACACGCACGTCCTGGCCATAACATCAATCCCACGACCCCCCCGTCCCTTCATAACAGCACCAATGCCCCTCCATCCCCAACAAATCTGGCTTACCTCACAGTTCAGTACACCTTCTCTGCTCCTACTCCCAGAAAAACAAACAACAACAAATAGAGCCATGAAGACTGCAAACCACATTCCTGATGTCCAGTCAGCACTCCACAGTCCTAACTCAGGATCTCAGCGGGGAGATGGGTAGGAGTGATCCCATCCCACCCCACCCTGGGGAAATGTGGTAACATCTGGCGACATTTCTGGCTGTCATGACTGGGAAGGTTTGGTATCCAGTGGTTTTAGGCCAGGGATGCCACTAAATATCCTATAGGGTACAGGTCAGCCCCCACAACACAGAATTATCAGGCCCAAGATGTTACTAGTGCAAAGGTTGAGAAACCCAGCTCTGTCCGGGTGGGCCCCCTTCTGTTTGCCTCACGAGGCACTCCCACGCTTCCCTACCTTCCTCAAGTCCCCTGTTTCACTTCAGCCCTAATACTGAGGTGGCAATGGTGGCACTGAAAAACTTGTTTGCATGTGCAGTCATCTTGATCTCCTTCCCCAGAGAGTCAGAAAAACAGAAGGTATCCTTCCTCTCTATGAGGCCAGGTCCCCCCTTTTTGCTCTGGCTCTGAGCTCCTTCAGCACCTTCAGGACCCTCTGCAAAGGATGGGACACTGGACCCAGAATAAGGGATGGGCAGTTCCCCAAAGGAACATCAGCATGAAGAGGGGCTCATATGTCCTCTTCTCCCAAAATAATCTCCTTTACTCCTAAACTCCCTCTTGCTACCCTGTCCCTCCTTCCACATTTAAGTCTCATGAAAAACGGCTGAGGCCACTGGCTGCACCCTCCCGACACATTTATTCTGCTTGGCCTTCCCCAGACAAATTACAGTTCAGAGTAGGTGCCAACTTCTGAAAACCCAAGAGATTTCACTTAAGAATATAGGTTCGGCCGGGCGTGGTGGCTCAAGCCTGTAATCCCAGCACTTTGGGAGGCCGAGGCGGGTGGATCACGAGGTCAAGAGATTGAGACCATCCTGGTCAACATGGTGAAACCCCGTCTCTGCTAAAAATACAAAAAATTAGCTGGGAATGGTGGCATGTGCCTGTAATCCCAGCTACTCAGGAGGCTGAGGCAGGAGAATTGTCTGAACCCAGGAAGCAGAGGTTGCGGTGAGCCGAGATCGTGCCATTGCACTCCAGCCTGGGTAACATGAGTGAAACTCCGTCTCAAAAAAAAAAAAAGAATATAGGTTCTAGCTATTTCTGAAAAACAGGAAGATCTAGCAACTTTGGGACATTGCTCCCCCAAGGCTGGAACTTAATACAATGTATATGCCACGGGAAAAAAAAATAATAATAATAAAAAATAAACTAGGCTGGGCATGGTGGCTCACAACTGCAATCCCAGCAAGTTGGGAGGCCAAGGCTGGCGGATCACTTGAGGTCAGGAGTTCAAGACGAGCCTGACCAACATGGTGAAACCCCATCTTCACCAAAAAATATAAAAAATTAGCCAGGTTTGGTGGCATGCCCCTGTAATCCTAGCTACTAGGGAGGCTGAGGCAGGAGAATCGCTTGAACCTGGGAGGCAAAGGTTTCAGTGAGCTGAGATGGGGTCACTGTACTCCAGCCTGGATGACAGAGCGAGACTGTCTCAAAAATAAATAAATAAATAAAAATTTTCAAAAAGCTGGAACTGGGGAGGCTGAGATGGGAAGACTGCTTGAGCCCAGGAGGTGGAAGCTGCAGCGAGCTGAGATCGTGCCATTGCACTTCAGCCTGGGTGACAAGAGACTGTTTCAAAAAAAGCTGGAGTTGAAGAGCCCTGCTCTTGGGCAGCCTCGATTCCAGGTACTCCTTTTATCTCCTCCACCTGAGTGCTCAGGCTGGAGTGCAGTGGTGCAATCCACCTCCGCAACCTCCACCTCATGGGTTCAAGTGATTCTCCCACCTCAGCCTCCTAAGTAGTTGGAATTACAGGTATGCACCACCACGCATTTTTTATTTTTATTTTTAAATTTTAGTAGAGACGGGTTTTTGCCATGTTGACGAGGCTGGTCTTGAACTCCTGGCCTCAAAGGATTGGCTCACCTTGGTCTCCCCAAGTGCTGGGATTACAGGCATAAGCAAGTCTTTTTTTTTTTTTTTTTTTTTTTTTTTTGCAACTCCAGTCTATGCCTTCTATTCTCCATTGCCTCCTAAAACTACTACCTCCTGTCTCTACAAGTCAAGGATGTTTCATTAAATAACTGGTTGGTTACCAAATTCAAGGTTCCCTCTTCTTCTTCTTCCTCATTCTATTCCATCTTTAAGCAGCAAAACTACCTTACATCCACACCCCTCCTTTGGTGTCACTGGGTGTCCCTGCAGGTCTCCTTCTGCCTGTTTCTGCTAGGCCTTCAGTATTCTCTTCCCATCTGCCTCTTCAATGCTGGGACTCCCCACGCTGTCTCTCCAAACGT